ACCATTTAAACCGGGGGCAGGCAATTATTTTGGGCAGAGGCGCTGCTTACTGAGTTTTGGCAAGCCATCAAGGGCCCCATGACAGGCAGCCCAGGGCAGATTAATATTAATTTTCTAATTTTTTTAGGGGCCCCACAGGCTGGATAGAATGGCTTGGCGGGCCACATACAGCCTGTGGGCAACATTTTGCCCACCTCTGATTTAAACTCTTGCTAATAGGACAAACTGCCCAGTTCAGTATCCATCTGGAATGTTATAAAAAGTCTCACCATGTATTCATTTTCTCATGCTTCTCTCAGTTACATCCCATGAAACAACAGGACTGATTTTAGCCAGTAGTAACAGGAATGTAAGTAACTAGTTCAGTGTGGTAAGCCCTACATAGAACTATCATAGTTTTCAAATACCACTGCACAAATGCATAGTTCATTTTCAGTAGTGGTGTCTATGCTCTTTTGTATTTTGTAAGAGCAAGGACCACTATTTTTAAGGAAATGTTTCTTGTCTGCTGTGTAACTTAGCCCATGAAATGGGGAGTTAGAGGAAACAGCAGGCTCACTAGACTGCCCTTCACTGCCTATACCTGATTTAAACAGTAAACCATAAACTACTACTATTCTGCCCTTACAGATTTTATCTAGTAAAGCAAAAATAGCCACTGTAAAATTGAAAAGCTGTAAACATTTCCATCATTTTGTTGTACAATTTAGTGTGTCTGACATGCTGACTCTGATCAGAATCACATGAAACAGCAAAAAGTAAACATTTAACATGTGACAGATGACATTTAACATGCAAGAGATCATGATCCCATTCACCTGGAAGAGGATCAGGCCTTTAATGTCAGGTTTGAAAAGTCATACCTCTACAAAGACAAGCAACAGTATGCTGATGGTTGAGATAGGATGCTAGAGGATCCAGGATAATGGAGAGAAAAAATATTGTGAGATTAATTTGAAGTGGAGTAAAAGAAGAAAATAGAAAACATGTAATAAGAGGATTACAATTAATAATAGGGAACAAATTTTGCTATTAACATTTAAAATTTCATTAGGAATTATTTTACACATGGCTACTTTGTTTATGGGTATTGCAATGCATTTGACAGAACTTCTAGAACTCTATTAAACACTTCTCAGATTGTTGTTAGTTTGAAGAAGATACAAATGCTAACTGTGAAGGCTTTTCACAAAGTGGTCTATTGGATGCAGTTTCTGAAACTTGTTAATATTCCATCAGGGTTCTGGGGTCAGAGTGCAAAGTCTGGGAGGAGAACAGCTGTTAGCCTGCATAAAATGCTTTTCTGTATTCAGACTTTTAACTTGCATTCTTAGGATAATCTACTAACACAAATGATGGCATAATTCCACAATTGGTAGACTACCCAGGAATTTCCTCTATTTCCCCCCCCTCCCCCAAATGCTGATTTCAAAGCCTGGAAACAGGAGTAGTCAAAAATATTTTACTACTCAGACCCATAATACAACACATTCTTCTTTTCAGAACGTCATTGATTCTGAAACACAGAATGCTTTAAAAATAAATCTGATAATCACTTCATCCTAATTACATTCTGCTTACACAAAAAAAGATATTTTATCAATGGATACGTTATACCTGCTTCCCATCCTTAACCATTACAATGCAACAATTATTAGAGGCAAGGATTTCTTTGAGTGATATCCCAATGTGGCAGTTGGTCTAATAAAAGATACCACCTAAAGAAACCCTTGCCTCTTGCATCATTCCTGGACCATCATAGCTACATCACTCTAAACACACTAACGGTGCATATACACGTACGGTTTAATGAGCATTGGCCTATTAGGCCTGCGTGGAGTGGCTAGCATTTGCTTCAGATTTGGCCAGTTTGGGGGGCGGTGATTTGATTTGGTAATTTGAATCACTGTACCGAACTGATTCGGTCGAATCTGATTTGGAGATTCAGCTGCTGCCAAATCGGCTGAATCTCTGAATCAAACAGGCCCCATCCCCCACTTGGTCTCCCAGTTCCATCAATGGCTGCCCCATCCGGCCCCAGCATCCTGGCTCTTTAAAAAAAAAAAAAAAAAAAAAAAAAAAAAAAAAAAAAAAAAAAAGCCTTCCTCCCTCCAACTTACCAGCACAGAGTCTGGGTCCAGCTCCATGCAGCAGCCAGCAGGGACTGCCTGAATCTCTGAATCTTTTCTGAATCAATTCAGAGAGCTTTGAATCAATTTGGGCCTTTTTATTGGTCTCTCAATTTGATTTGTTTGGCTACCGAATTGGGCTGAAGCTTCGCACAGCCCTAATTTTCATGCACATTAAAATGTCACCAAAAACCATGCTCTTTAGCCAATGCATGTTAAAATAGGTGCATGGGGCATTTATACACATACATTTTTGTGCAGGGACGTGCCGGAGATCTGAGCTGATTGATGCGCACTGTGCTGCAGTGCATGCAGTTGTATAAGTCGCGAAATGCACGTTAGTGCACAGAAAATGGTGGTGGTGAGCTTTTGAACTGAAGTACCTCCAATGTGTTTTAGTTCAAAAGTGCACCACTGCCATTTTCTCAGCACTGACGTGCATTTGCCACTTATACAACTGCATGAGCCACAGTGCCGGGCACTTTTTAAAGCACCCGCTGCTGCCGTGCATGCAGGTGTACAAATGCCCATGTACATTTTTTAATGTGCATTACCCTAAAGCTCATTAATGAATATGTAGATGCACCCATAATGCCCAACAATTTAGGGCAGGAGACAATTACATTATTTAGGGGAAGATTTTTTTTATACAGGGAACATGCAACTATCTAGGTTCAGATGTGTCCAATATGCAATTTTCTCCTTTTCTGTAACCACAACTAGTAATGGGAGTTTAATTTTATGTCTTATTTAAAAGATATTAAACCTTCAAGGGGTGTGCCCACTTAAATACTAGGCTAGGATACCAGGTTGTTAGTAGTTTAGAGGAAAGGGTACTATCAATAGCACTTCCTGCAGCATGTGGCCTTTCCTACATTGTAGTTTAGCTTTCCTTTTTTCATTTTCCTCCTTCAGTAGCCCTTATTTCCTGACTGGTGGACCATTATGCAGAAGTCAGATCCTGTTTGCCTGTTACTGGTGGTGGCTAAAATCAACAAAGAAGGAGCAACTGCTTGAAATACTCTGACATCTGCTCAGTGCCTTACAGGTTACTGGAACAGTGCTACAGTTCCAGGATTTAACCTACCGTTTTCAATCTTTCAGAAAAGTTCCTTGACCAGGTTTAATTAATATTTTATAAATAGGGGAAGAATATAGCACTGTGGGATTGGACATTTTTACACGTTCAAGTGCTGGACTGCCAGGTGTTTTGAAAAGTGCCTGGCACTGCGACACTTGCAGTTGTATAAGCCGCAAAATGCGTGTCAGCTTGGAGAAAATGGCAGCAGCGCGTTTTTAAACTAAAACACTTCAGATGTGCTTTAGTTCAAAAGCACACCACTGCTGTTTTCTTCATGCTGATGCACATTCCGCCACTTATACGAGGCACACCACGGTGGACATCAGCTTCTGTGCAGAGCAGACTCAATTAATCAAGTCTGTTCCAAAGCAGCAGATCTCTGGCATATCCAAGAACTACAAGGTATGTGTATAAATACCCTAGAGGCCCTATGGATCCTCTGTTCCTGTGCATATAACATATAACAAAAAGTGAAGTGGAATGTTTCCAAGGGCATGTATGTTTGTAGAGCTGGCCCTCTGAAATGCTTCAAAGGTGTTTGCAACATTGCAAGACTTACTTCTGGCTGAAACCTATGAATCTTACATCTCCACAATAGAAAAGATTACAATTAATAATAGATAATTTATAAAAATGAAAACTTAATATTTATGAAAAATTAAAGGGAGAGAGTAAAACTTGTTGGGATTTCTTAAACAACAGAAAATGTCATATTTTGTTTTCACAACTTTCTTCTTTTTCTGTATAAAATTAATTATACTATTTTACCTAAAATTTAGATGTTCACTTGCCAGACTAGCAATGCACACTTTCAGTTTGAAGGTGGTTGATTAAAGAATGATAAACACACTGATAAGTAAAACCTCCATTGCTCAGGTTGGTTCTATGTGCACTCCACCCATAGTAATCTCATGTTGGCTTGTTTAATGCAATTAGATCCTGACCAAAGCCTAGCAAAATCAATGAGCATTTTAAAATCAACTTAAATGGGCTCTGGATCAGGACCCAAGCATAGCTCCAGCTATTGGACCTTTTTCTTGAGACAGAGGTTAAAGGCAAACAAATGAATCAAAGACTTTAGTATCTGTATTAAAAGAAAACTAGCTCAAGGTAGAAATTAGACATAGTTAAATTTACTAAATTACCTGTATTTGTTCTGACTTTTTTTTAGTATGTTTGAAGTCTGAATGTGCTGCAGTATTTCTTCAAAACTTATTGCTGGATTACAACTATACACTACTGACAACAGACATCTCCCCTATATGGAACTGTTTTAAAATGTTCTACTAAATAGAAGTTTTGTTCATTTAAAAAGATAATAAAAGTGCTAATTAATTGATGGTTGAAAATGATACCTTTGCTGAGATATGCATAGAAACACTCAGATAATTAGTTTAACTTTTTTAATAATGCATTAAAATAATCTAAATGTATTCAACACAACTCTATATAGGAAAAACTGTAAATGTCAGTAAATGTCATACTTACTCATTAGTTCTGTTTAAATTCTGTAAATGTCAGAATTACCCTGATGGCCTGTAATGAAAACGTACTGGGAGGAGAAATTAAAAGGTTGGGCAAGGGGGAGTCCAAGGTTGCAGTTTCTGTTGTTATAGTTTGTATATTACTAACTGTAATTTTTGTAGAGGTACACAAGATGAAAATCTGTTTTTGCAGTAGTAAAGTGGATCCTAGTTTTATCATTTGTTCTTCCTGTAGGCAAGGCACTCCCACTGGCATCTCTGGGAACTGTGCACTAGTGGTTTCTGGATTACCTCCTTTCCAATTACCTGTCGTGTCGGATGATGGGTGTAGGCAGCACACATGTAAGAAGCCATCCAAACTCCGCCAGTGTGTGTAGCAAAGGTCCATAATCTGTTTTGATTTCATATCCCTATATTATAAGTACAAAAAAGTATTAAGAGCACTTTTACTAGGGTAAGAGAGGCAACAGCAATTGTTTTAAGACCTGAAGCTAAGACTGTTGAGAGGACAGAATGAGAGAATTTTCCACCAGTGATTCTCTAATGGAAGAAAGCAACACTGACAAGTTACCTGCAGGGCAAAGCACAGTCAAGAAGCTAGAGGCTAAATTGATTCAATCTTTGCAGATTAGTCTAAGCTACATAGATTGAACTGATAAGTAAGTGAACAGATACTCACTTTTGATTTCAGAAATTCAACCACTTGCCTGCAGTGGGCCAGGCTGGGGACACTAGAGCATGCCTCCCCACTCAGCTGGAGCAGACAGCTTGGGGCAAGGCTGGCCTACCCACACTTCGAGGTGGGGGTTTGCAGGGGAGGTGCAAAGTATCTTGGGAGAATCATAGAAAATTAGGGTTGGAAGGGACCTCAGGAGGTCATTTAGTCCAACCCTCTGCTCAAAGCAGGACCATTCCCAAACTAGATCATCCCAGCCAAGGCTTTGTCTAGCCGGGTCTTAAAAACCTCCAAGGATGGAGAATTCACAACCTCTCTGGGTAACCTGTTCCAGCATTTTACTACCCTCCTACTGATAAAATTCTTTCTAATATCTAACCTAAACTTTTCTTGATGCAACTTGAAACCGTTGCTGCTTGTTCTGTCATCTGCTACCACTGAATACCGGGGGACTGAGTTCACTTGAATCTGGAGTGGATCTGGGACAGAAGTTCAATAAACCAATTTAACCTAAATCACCTAAATCTGATACTAAATGCATCCAGGTTTATCATACACCAGTTTCAGCCATTTTGATAGCAGTTTACATGAACTGAAATTCTTGTGTTATAGATCTGAATCAATTTCTGATCACTTATAATGACGTATGTGTAATTTCTGTCCCTAGCCCTGGAGGGCGGCAGGAGAGGCACAGCCAGACTGCAGTGGGAAAACAAAGGGATTTAGCTCTTTGGTTCTACATCTGTCTGTCACCCAGGTGCCTCTTTGCAGCCAGGACTGGGTGTGAGATCACGTGTCCAAGGCCTCTGGCTCTCTGCTGGCAAATAGCTATTAAGCCAGAAACATTTTTTTTGGTGAGGTTTTTACTTTTTGTCCTTAGTTGGGTGAATGTTGTTTTTCAAAACTTTGACATTTTCTGCAGAATTCAATTACCCTGGAGTAATGACTAATTACTGCTTCTTTTTATACACTTTAGTATGACAGCAACAGAGCTACCCTTGTTTAAAACTATGACTGAGTTGGTCCCAAATCTGTAAATCTGCATATCTGCTTATATGCATAAAGGAAAGATTTCAAGTAATATTTCCTCAAAGACATGTATGTGCCTCTTTTCAGATCAATAATTTGATAAACTTCTTTAAAAAATAAAAAAATAAAAAATTGGTAACAACTTTGGCTTAAGTAATATAAAACAAATAGAATTTTTTTAGCAAGTGTAAAACATTATTTTTCACACAGTTTTGTAGGTATTTGATCATAAACACAGAAATTCATTATTCTGTTTATACTTTCAGTGATAGTCCTGTTTATGAAACAGGATTACAATTCTCTATCCTAAACTTGTATCAAATTTCAATAAGAACAGACTAAGGAAAAAACAACACAAAAAGTAAACTGCTCTGGAAACAGTGAATTACCTCAATGACTGTCCATTGTTCCACAACTATTGCATCATTTCCTTTCCTGTTAGAACCTGGAACTCCTGAACCTTCTTCTTCGTATAAAAAAAAACCTTCTATAGATTTAGGGAAGTGGTCTCCTGTAGAAACAAGGACACATTTAGATGGACTGTAAAGATTTAGGCTACATACTAAAAGATGTCTGCAATGGTTTAACTTTACAGACTGTGAATAATCCTTGGAAGTCAAGTTATCCAAGACATCAAATTACTTCAGTTTAATTAGTCTTTGTTTCTGGTTGTCTCAATCACAGTTCAGAGACTATTAAGTCAAATTATTAAACAAAAACATATTTTCTGTGTTTTTCAGTGAGCAAGCTATTAACAAAAGGCAGGTTTCTATATTAGTAAAAGTATTAGCAAGCAAATGACATACTTAAATATTAACTTCTATTTCTTATACATGAGAAAATTATTTACTGTTTATGTAACACATAAATACAGAAACTCTATACTCAACCTTTAAATGATATAGGTATGACCACAAACAGTTATTGGAAAGGGGAGAGGATTAAAGGAAAAATTGAGCATAAATTGCAATGTCTATCCACAGTTAACCTAACCCCCCCACAAATACCTATATGGCCACAGGAAGAACCTGAAACACAAATAATTGTAGAAGGATGCCTGATGGGAAGGAAGTTTCAGAGAGCACCTCCCTGACTTACTTCTTGACACTATCCAGCTGGCCAAAACTAAAGCTGTGCACCATATCATGGTTCATTCTCTGTCTTTGATAGCATAGTGCAATTCCTAAGAGTCATCTGCAAGCTGTTTGTGCAGTTGTTCCTTAGTAGCTGAGAATCTTAAAAACTAAAAAAAAAAACAACTAAATTTAAACAGAAAGTAGAAATACTATAAGAATATCAGTTTTTAATCCTCTCCAGCATGCCATGAATATAAGAAGAAGACTGGTTCTGTGACATAACTTACAGCTATGCAGAACTACTATTTATTTTTCTGTAAAGTAAGTAAATGAATAAATAAATAAGAAGTTCTATAATTAGCCTAACTCAGAATTTTACCAGATGGGAATACATTTTCTAAATAAGGTATGGATTCCAACTTCTCAAACATCTGTTTTCTAATGCCAAGTATTGAGACATAACGTTTACTTCTTTTGGGTCCGTATTTATAAAAAATAATATTTGTTTCTGGACATATGGATATTTAAAACCAATAATTTACATGCACATATGCCTATCATGCAGATATAGAAAAAGAAGACATAACATTTTATTTTTACACATGCACTGAGATAATATGGTTAAGTCTGCAAATACAAAATGAGTGCATAATCATACACATTTTTATTATTGTTTGTAACAGCTCAATTCTGTAATTCAATTAACTACAAAACTTATTTTAAGGTATCAGGAAGACACTTGAAATAATCTCTTAAGGGTTAAAATATTTCCTACTTTATTGTTGTTATAAGTGGGTGAAATAGGCCTCTGTTGAAATATGAAGAAAATAAAATCACCATTTTTTAAATCACCCCTCCATCAGACTTGCTTGAATACTCTTAACACCAGCACTGCCTTTTTGGACGCCGTGATCAATATCCAAGATGGTAAAATTCAAACCACCATATATAAGAAACCCACGGACCAACATACATATCTGCACAGAACCAGCAGTCTCCCTAAACATACCAAGGAATCTGTAATATACAGCCAAGCTCTCCAATACTACTGAATTTGCAGTGAGGAGAATACCTGTGACTGCCACCTGACAAATTTCAAAAAGGCCTTCAGCTAACAAGGACACTCCTCTGGAGAGACAGACCACACTTTTGAAAGAGCCACGCAGATACCACGTGAAGATTTGCTGTAGTACAAAAAGAAAATTCCCTACAAACTGCATGCCATTAGTTATGACATATCACCCTTGCCTGGAACCTACACAGAAAATCCTCAAACAATTGCAACCCATACTAGAAATCCCCTCTCTTAAAAGAGACCTTTTCAGAACCATCCATCCTAGCCTTTAAACAAGCACTGAACCTTGCTAACCTCATCACTAGACACAAACTCCCTATGACCAAAACCACACCAAATGGATCCAGACAATGCCAAGACAAGAAATGCAAAACCTGCCAACACATGTCCACCCCCCCCCCAACAATAACTTCACCCCACAACAGCACCATCACCATTCCTGGATCTTAGAGCTGCACCTCCAGAAATGTTATACATCTCATCCAGTGCACCAAATGTCCTGATGGAAAACATGTTGGAGAAACCAAACAACTGGACACCAGAATGAACGTACACCAAAAATCTATCAAAAACAAGAATACTCAACTACTTGTGGGGGCACACTTCTCACAGGGCCATCATTTCCTCTCCAATCTTTCAGTTCTAATCCTCAAAGGGAACTTACAAAACACCTTCCACAGACAAGCCTACAAACTTCATTTCATAAATCTACTGGATACAAAAAAATCACAGACTTAATACAGACATTGGTTTTATGACACATGATACAACCTGCCTGACATCTGATTCTACAGGTACCTGCCTGACCTATCCTCTTACATCCTTCTTTCCCCCCACCTTTTCTCCCCCCCCCTTCCCTACTTTTCTTCCCTTTGTCTCCCTGATTTCCTACTATTTCCTTCTTCATTGAGAGCCTCTTTCTTACCCTGTATTATTACCTCTGCAATGTTTCCCTTTGGCCTTTCCCCACACCTGCTTTCTTCCTCCTCCCTCTCCTGCTTTACCTTTGGTTTCTCCTGTCTACCTATTTATATTTTCACTACATCCTCTCACACTTTGAGCTTCTCTCTTTCCTGTTTTTCTGATCTTCACCTACATTCTCTTTTGCACCTTGTATTCTATCACTGTAATGTCTCCCTTTAGCCTTTTTTTCCCCTGCTCTCTTCCCCATCCCCTCTCTGCTTTACTTCTCTGTTTTACCTTTCGTCTAATTTCTACCTATTTACATTCTCACTGACATCCTGCCACACTTTTAGCTTCTCTCATTTCTTGGAATCTCAGAATAGCAGAGGCTCCCTATGCCTGGAGGGTGACTGTGCCCAAAAGCTTGCTAAGAACTTTTTTCCAACTACTCAGTCGGTCTAATAAAAGATATCACATCTACTCAAAGAACCTTGCCTGACCATTTCTTTTATCACATTCATAAAACATATAGGGTTAAATTAATCCCTTTTGAAACTCCATCAACTTCAATGGACTCACAGATGAACTGAATTTGACCCCTTTGTCCACTCTGTCTATGATACTTGTTTACGATTCCAATTTTAGATCTAGGCTATTTTCTTAAAAACATAATTTCACATTATTATCAGCTGAATACTTTGCACTCCAAGAAAGCTGATACATAAAATATTTCAGAAACCTCCCCCTCAATTTGGATTTTAAAAGATGTGTGCCTACTTTGTTAGTACATTTGGTGGTGCTATCCCTTATTCTCTCACTCTTACTTTTTATTTTATTTTGCCTTTTAAAACAGAAAACTCTTTTTGGTAGGAACTGTGTTTGTAGAGTATCTTAGGCAATCCTGTATTATAAATCAACAAGATTGATCAAGTCCAACCAGTTGCAGAAATAATATTCTGCCACAGGCCCTATGTAGGTTACAAAAAATCATTTGATCTAAGAACAGTTATTTTCAGAAGCTATGAGAACAAAATTTGTCAGTATTTTGTTTATTAAAGTGACTTTACTCCTAATTTTAAAACACAAGATTGTGCAATTAACATTGATCCATAAGAAAATCCAATGCAAACCTGTTGGCTGTTGCCAATTTTGTTTTTTTATTGGCAGAAAACTTAGCTATAGAAATTTACCAGCTAAGCTGTCTTTTTATATCTTGTGAAGGGAAAAGGTAACATTTCTTTTTTTGTCTGGGCAATTTAATATCCTGATAGAACCCAGAAAATAAAGATAATATTTCATTTTCTAAGCAACTCTCATTTTTTTGATTCCTAACACCAAAGAACCTAGCGTGTCAACATTTTATTTTTCTGTTTCTTAGCTTTCTTGGAGAGCAAAATTGTCAACTAATTATATTATTCTTTTAGATAGGCCTCAAGAACCAATCAGTCAAGAAAGAACCCATTAGCTAATGGCAGCTGTAGCTCTTTCTCAGGTTACTGACACTTGATCGACTGGAGAAAACATCACCCACAAGTTGGGCTGTTTCTTTAAATGTGTGCAATGTAATCCAGCATTGTCATACCCAAGGTCCCAAATTGCCAGCGAGGCTGGGCAGTATCAGAGGCACTATGGAATGCCTATAAAAGACACTCCCTCATTGTTAAATATAGAAAAGTTCTTCATAAAGAAGAAATGGTAGACACAGAGCATGGGAGACTTGCAAAACTTCTGCTGGCCAACAGCTGAAGAGATTAATTTTGGCTAAAAGATTTATTCCTTAATGAACTGTACTGGGTATTTCCAGAGGAGTTTTTCTTTTATCACCACCAGTGAAAGAGGTATACTAGAGACTAAGGATCCGATTTCACTGAATCAAATCAAAAGGAATCTTTGCATTAACTTCAGCAGAGTTTGGATTGGGGCCTTTGAGTCAAGATATACCTTCAAAATTCACCATTTTTTGCATACAGGGGACATGGCTTAATAATGAAACCTGTGTAATTTCTGTGCATTTAAGAGCGGATCCATGTTCTTTAATAATTACTAAACTTTTTTTCCCTCAATGTGACAGCAGTGTGACAAAAAGTCAAGGATTTACATGAAGGGGCACTTTTTTCAAAAACACTAAGGGCACAGACAGACTTTAGAGCCCTGCTCTAACTCATGGTGCTTTACATAAAGTGCAACAGGTGTTTGCCTGTTGGGTTGGGGGAAGCGCAGAGCTGGAGCCAGCCTGCACTAACCCAGGCCAGCAGGTAGGAGCATTCCAGCAGCCTCCCATGAGGCTGCCAAACCACCCCTCTCCCCAGCCCAGCCCTAGCCCCCATGTCCAGGGAGGGAAAGAGGGGAAGGACCTCCCAGTTGCTGAATGGCCAGAACTGGGGATAGGGTGGGAAATGGAGCCCCCTTGCCTTATCCACCGCCCCAATCTAGGGTACTGGGGGGAGCTTTATTTGGCCCAGGAGGCGAAAAAGCTCCATTCCCCCTCCCCCAAGTTCTGGCCATTACTGGCTGCTTCCAGCTGCTGAATGGCCAGAGCTGGGAGAAGTGATGGGGAATGGAGCCCCCTCGCCTTAGGGGCCCAACCTGGCTCCCCCCAGCACCCTAGCTGGGGTAGCTGGGGAGGGCCACAAGGCGAGGGGGCCCTATTCCCCTCCCATTCCCCTCCTCCCAGCACAGCTATAGCCATTCAGCAGCCCGGAGCTCACTCTCTTCCCCTGACAGCCCAGACGCCAGGGCTGGACACCAGCCCAGCCCCACCCCTATGTGAAAAATTAACCCTGGAGGGAATGCAAGTTCCTTATGGCGTTCTGCTTTTGATTGCCTTAATGTGATATTCGATTTAACCAGGGTTAATTTTTTGTGCAACTGGCCATTTTAAATGCTCTTGGCAGCTAAGCACGAATGTGATGACATGGCTGTAGAGCACTTTCAGGGGCCAGATCACTCTAAAATGTCACTACTGTCTGCACCCTGAGTTCTTAACAGATTTAATTGTTTATAAGGATTCATTTTTATTGTTTATTGATTTACTTTCAAACATTTTTTCTACTATAAATTTGTTTACTTTTTCTTTTAAATTGCTCAGTAACCCATATAATCTTAACATAGGGAAGCTTCATACAGTTATTATTAATCAGACCAGAAAAAAAAGAATGATGTTAAGTAACATATATCCTGACCAGAAGTTGAGGGATATATTACAGTTTAACTTGGATAAAAAATTCTCTTGAGCCAGTCTATAAACATGATAGAGGGGGTGAGGAAAAAGATTTGCAGCTCCTCCTGCTAATCATTCTGTCCAAAGTAAATAACCCTTATACACTTTTAAAATAAATAATTAAATAGTAACTGACTGCCTTTTTAGCTGCAAACTGAAGAACGAGATTTCTTTCTCTCAAATGCATACATGAACTGAATAAATATGACAAAGAATAGTGGCATGAAATAACAGTGATGCACAGCAAAAGTTCTAAACATTTTTTTCCTTTCTTCAGGACTCATATTGTGAAGCAGACTAGACAGACAGGCACACTAGTATATTTATTATTAAAAAACTATATAGTGCCACATAGGGAAACTGAATAGTGAAACTGCTATCAGGTAACAAGCAGCTACTAAATGACTCATAACAGTTTCTTTTACATTTATTATTTAGCTGTCACCCTTAATATACTTGATTATTTTCTATAGAATGATTCTGAATCTTGCAGAAATTGTTTGCGAGAGTCTAAAGAAACACTTCAGTGAACTTTTACAAAGCAGCTTTTCTCAATTACAGTCCTGTGCTTCATTCACTCATACATAACTGCCATAAGCAACTATAAAGGAACACTGATCACTTAGAATCTAGGACAACTGAGGCAACCAAACTTGGTCAGATGACAAAATGCTAGGTTAGAGGAATATAAACTCTCCATTTAGCATGATATAACTTTTCACTTCTTATGTAATCGGTAACATTGGCAATAAAGTAGGTCAGGCAGTTCAGATCTATTCATCCAGCATCAGTGTACAACCGTAAAATATTCTTTTCTTTGCAGTATATTCTAATTTTAAATGATTTAATACCAAGCTACAGAAAAAGCAGTTTAGTAAGCATTCTTCACTAAAGATCAAAATTAGTTTTAAATACTTGCAAAAGATTTTGCTACATAAAATGTTACTTTTGAAACTCTTTAATATAACTTACTATTTCTGATGTCAGTAAAGGCAGTTAAACATCTTAATTAAAACATTATTCATGCCTTAAAAGGCACAGTAATTGAATATGTTAAGCCAAAGCAGCTTTCAACTAAAAAATAGTTTTTGATGTTGAGAAACTCAAGTATTATTACTATTTACAATAGTACTAGCAGTGCCAAGAATCTCTGTTGCAGGGTGTGCTGGCTCTTAACAGGATTCAGACTCAACTGTGCTTTGGCCTCTCTTGCTAAGTGATTAATTTAAGTTTGGGCATGGATGTGGCTGAGTCAGGTGCCCAGGAACAGGTGCCAGTGCAAAGACCTCGCTTCCTGTAAGATGGAACCTGCTCTGTCAGGGTAAAGTCCAGAGGCTAGAAAAAGGCAAGGGGATCCTCTTTAGGGAAGCGCAGCCTGTCCCAGTTGCCCTGTTCAGAGGAATCTGAGGAGCAGAGGAAGAGTGCTAGAGGCTAAAGGGTGATGCTGGAGAGAGAAAAGCATGGACATTGAATAGGGGATGCAAATGGAACAAATGGAAAGAGAAGACCAAGAAGATCTCGATGCCAGCCAGATGGAGAGGTCTGGCAGGAACTACCTGCAATGAGGGATAGGAATGAAGATGAAGGAAGAAGAGATCTGAGGAAACTGCAGGCAGAACAAGTGCAAGTAAAGAGCTGAAGAAAATGTAGAGTGGAGAAAGGATTTTTTTAGTTTAATTTTATATTGAATATTTTAGATCATTAGAAGGGGTATTATTTGATTTGTACGGAATCTCTGGGTAGTTCTGATAACTTTAAGAAATGGAAACTGAGGTGGCAGCTGTGTCTAATGACAGCACAAGTAAGATTTGACTTCAGCTCCTGAATAAGCATCATACAAAATACTTAATAAGAGCCAGCCTCTGCCTCAAAATAATTACAAGCTAAGAGCAACTGGGTAACTGTGACAAAATTTATATTAGAAGCCAGGATTATTGATTTCTTTTAATTAATTCTAATAAAACTGTTTGAGAAATCTTGACACTTAAAACAAACCAGCAGCAGCAACAAAAAATGACCGAAAAAAAGCAATCCCACCCTTCCAAAACAACAAAAACCCCTCTTGCAAAGGGACTGACATTGGTGAACCTCCAGGGTGATACAGAAGTCTAGATCTAACTTATTTATAAATTCTAAAATTATAAACCAGCATGAGCAGTCACAAAGAAAGCTTGATGCTTAATGACGATTGCTGAAATAGCTAGCAATACAATTTCAGCAAGCCACATGTCTCTCTCTTTCCTGTTGGATAATGCATGGTTAAAGAGCCAAATACTAACTTCTAAAATGAACAGGGTTGGGTACAATTATAATATGTTGTTATCAGTTATCATCCAAAAGAACTATAAAGTTCTTGGTGGGTGATAACATACTTGTGCATTTACAATCTCTGAATGCTCAGGAACTTAAATGGAGCCAAGAAGCTGTCCTTAAAGGCCTAATGTTTCAGCCCTAACAAAGACAGAAGAACACTAATTCACTTCAAAATATGCTATTAACACAATAAAGCCTACAGGAAGAGGTCTACAATATACTATTTGTATTGGTTTCATTTAATAGTGATAATACTCTATATACCACAGAAGTATAGGTTCCTCAAGATCAACTGGGGGTGCTCAAAAATCACAGGTGTGGACTCATGTGAATAGTAAGGGGGAGGTGCTCAATGAATCAGGGAACATTGTGCATAAATATTTGTGATTACAATTTTTTTTCTGTTTTTTATTAAAATAGCAGGGGCACTAAATTCATATGTTACTGCCTCCATGTTGCACCAGGCAAAAGAAAACAGAAATTTAAATTGTTCTAAGAGATGACTGTCAAAGAAATATGGAAAGGCCTTTTTATTTTTTAAATAATATCGCATTCTTTTAATTACAATGACAACGTAACCATTTCTAAAATTTTCCTCTTCAAACTAAGAACCACAATTTGACCTACATGTTGCAAAACAAATATATAATAGTTTAAAATTTCAAGAGAAATATGATTTCCGGAATGACACTTACCTTTAGAAATATCCCAGTGTACAAAAGAATCAATTAATGATAATCCTTGTTTATAATAAAAGGTGGTTAATTCTAGCCAATCTGCATCTAGGGAACTAATAACTGACCCTTTTCTTGTTACTTTCATAGACAAAATGCCTTCATGATATGTCCAGCAGGTTGAATCATCATCAAAAACATTGAAGACTGAATACAACTTATCTAGAGAAAAGAAAAAACAATGCTTCAAACGAAAACAATCAACTTAAGAATACTTTTCGGCTAAACATTTTTATTTTTGATGCAATTTTAATATGAAAACTGAAGATTAGAAAAATATTATTTCTTCCTTTTTCAACTTGTTTTTACATTTAGAACAACTTATATATAAATATTTTTATCACTCACCTATATAATCACTCAGCTAGGTAAGTTCTCCATGATGTCTGTGTGGTCTTTCACACAGCAGCAGGAGAGAGAAATATAATAATAAGAAAAAAATACCAGAATAGGTAAATATAAAACCTAAAGAATTGAATTGGGGGAATGGTGCCTGAAACTGCTTTAACTTTTAAAAAAATTGACTAGGTTTCAACTCAAAATCAGTTTTAGGGAGCCTGGGGAAAAAACCCAAATACCCTGTCTCTGGATACCACAACACAGAGTTCGGTAGTGTGCAAGCAGATGCAGGCATGGGCTGTGCAGGTGAGGTATGTAGGGAAACTGAGGCATAAACTGTGGATAGGGTGGAGAGCAGTGGCAGCAGGGGTCAGGAGAATCAGAAGCAGGGGTCAAGAAAATCTGGCGATCTTTCCACCTGCACCCCCTCCCGCAGTTGAACTTAGAACTTCCCTGCCTAGGATTTGTAGCAGGGAGATGAAATTGACAAGGTGGCTTTCCAGGGAAGGTACTGGAAAATCCAAGGAGTTCTTGGAGGGATGGGCCCAGAGCACCCAGTTCCTTGGGAACCACAAGCAGGGGCCACACAGCTCTCCAGCACCTGAAAATCCCTCCATTCTAATATCTTGCCTCAGTCCAAGTCTTCCTCCCTGTCTAGGGCTAGGGACAGACATTCAAAAAGCCGAAGCCTGAATTGATTCAATTTTTGCAAGTTAGTCTAACCTGGCTAGGCTGAACTGGTTTGTAAGTGTACAGACATCCTGTCTGGACTGAAGAAATGCAGGCACATGCCTGCAGTGGCTCAGCCTAGAACCCAAGGGGCACTAGAGCAGCCTTTCCTTCCCTTCTTCAGTGCTTAGGAGGAAGGCTGCATCAGTAGCTACTAAACATGGGAATTAGGGGTCCATCCAGCCTCTGAATCAAAACTTCCAAGACTTTAAATGTTAAAGACTGCAAATGGGAGAGCAACAGGGGAAAAAACCCTGGTTATGCCCTGTTCACTCTTCCTTTCAGCACCCACTCTCTGCCACTGTGACACAGGCCTATTAGATATGCCATAAAGTCAGCCCATCAAAAATGCTAAAAGCCTCCCTTAATAGGAGGCCAATGGGTACACATCAACTGATTTCTTGGGACACAAAAAGAAAACAGGGATAGGAGTGAAGGTTACAGGTTCAAAACAAGGGATCCAGAAGGGGATGCCAAGCAGAGTACACCGGTTGGGGCCTGCTGACCCCTGAATGAATCGAGGGAGCCTGAGGATGCTGACCAGTGAAATTCTGCCCAGATATGTGAACAGAGGAGTGAAAGGAAGACAGCCCTATACTCATGCAGGCTCCCCCCAGCTAGAGCCTCCATCCTGGTCTTGTAAATGGCTAGCTTGTCCAAAGCCAAGAGGAGGTTGACCAGGAGGTCCCAGAGCTTGGTGGGGCCATGGAGGGGGAATGCATAAAAAAAGGTGCAGGGAGAAGTGCAGCCAGAAGTTCAGCAGGAAGTTCTGAAGGAGAGAGAAGAGGGGCTGCAACCTGATGCACTCAAGGTAAGCATACACCAGGGTCTCCCTCTGTTGGCAAAAGGGGCCTGTGTTAGGGTGTCCTTAAAACGCACCAGATACACACCCATGGTGATGGCTCCATGGAGGAGCTGCCAGCTGGGAGCCTTGGATGCTCATGGGATCAGGGTAGAATACAAACCTGTCCACTGGGGACCCTTGCACTGTGACACTGGGTATGATAGACCTATGGTCTGACCCAGTAAATGGCAGTTCTTATATTCTTATGTTCTATGTTCAGTGTATGTGTGGACCCTTCTGTTCATGGACAGCTGAGAATTGGTTCCCAATCAGTGACATTCTTGGAACGGTGTGAGTGTTATGTCTTTCTGCACCCTGAGGGTGGTGTCACATGTTCAACTTAACACTTACTAAGCATAGTTAAAACTCAAGCAGCTGCATGTTCAAGCAGTTCAGTACAGGTTGCATGGCCTCTTAGTGTTAAAAAGCTGTCCCCATTCAGGTGAAGATGATCTCCTTAACATGTACTAACTTCAATAAGTCACTGCATTCCAATGATTTGCAGCTGTTACAAGTAAATGTGTGACACCCCCTAACACTTAACTTTAATAAATCACAACATTCCAATGATTTGTCACTGTGGCAAATTAATGTGACAGCCCTAAGGTGCCATCCTGCCTGACCTCTGCCTGAATTCAAACGAACATGGCTGCCTCTCTCTCACTTTCAAATCTCTAAGCTGCTTCAAGCAGCACCATCTAAGACCACACCTTTTATAGAAATGTTTCCCCTCATTCCAAATAACAATAATCAGAAGTAAAAAATAGGCAATTTTCCAAGTCTGAGCCATTAACAGGGTTAAAGCCTACTATTATATAACCTTCTTGTAGTTTCTCTGAGGTAGAAAGATGCAGTGACAACATATTCTTGTGGGGGACACATGGAAATCATCCTGAGACTGTGTGAAGAGAATTTGAGCATGATCAAGATGCCCTTCAGCAAATTTGTGCTCTCTCTCAGCACCCTTTAAAATTTCTTTCATGTTTCTGCTGTTGACCTCCTCTCCCTGCACAGCCTGCTCTGGCAGGTTTTTTCTTCACTGATAAAATCCTGGCCTACTGAAGTCAATAGGATCTGTGTCTTGACTTAAACAGCACCAGGATTTTATGCTACCTTTCCAATCCAGCTCCTGTCCTTAAATGTCTCCTTGCCAGCCTCAAGTAAATCAGGAAAGAAGAAATGCAAAGTAAATAAAAGATAAAAAATTATCTGCATTATTTGTAAGACTCAACAGTCGAGCTGCCAATAGATCTGTTTAACTTTGGGCACTGACAGAAGTGACGTTTTGTTGTGCGATCAGCCACTGAAAGCACTCTACAGCTGTGCACTGACCAAGGTACACAGATGCAGAGCACTTTAAAAATGGCCAGCTGTGCAACAAATAGGCACTCAGAGCAGAGCACCTTCATTAACTTCTGTTAGTGTGTGCTGTGAGCAGGACTGGGCATCCCAGCCCCATCCTTGGTGCCGTCCTCAGGATGGGAGCGCGGGGGTGGATGGGGAGAGAGTTCCGTTTGGGGTTTGCCCAGCCTGTCCTGGAGGTTGGAGTGGGTGGATTGGAGCCCACCCCCAGTATGGATTTGAGGGGCTTAAATCCACCCCCTCACTCCAGCGCAGGCTGGGTAAACCCCAGAACAGACCTCCTTTCCCTGCCTTCTCCCCAACTCCCATCCTGAGATAGCACAGGAGCTGGGAGAATGGAGGTGGGGCTAGAGGAAGAGGCTGCAGACATGTAGCCTCTCTTGCTGAATTGGCTCTAAAGCAGAGCTCCATCGTCCACCCTCCTGATCCAACAGCAGACATCTGTTGGGTTGGGTTGGGAGAGTCCATTTAACTCATGACACTTGCTCTACAGATCAGGAAGCTGCATGTCTATCAGCACCAGATGTTTACTGTATTTTCAGTTTTTATTTGTTCCTTTGAAAGTTTGGCAATCCCTGATCAGAACTGGGTAATTAAAGTTCCATTGTTTAAAACCTTTTGTTTGATCTATACTAGATTACTCTTCTTCAAAACTATCGTCTCTTTTTGATGTAGCTTATTGCTACGCACATTCACTACACTAAAAAGCTGCATTTTAAAAATGTACAGATTCTTGAAAAGTGAAATCTTGACTTTTTAGAATGGTAAGAAGCATGTCTAATATTTTCTGATGACTCATAAGGACAACAGCAACAGCCTGTAAAGTCACTTCCTTTTTAAACATCTGCCATCTAGATTTTGCAGGAAAGGTGAGAAACAGTAGCCCATTAGACATGGACACAAAATAAAAAGCTATGTATTAGAAACCTGACAATATATAGTTTATGTTTTGTTCTATATTAAGATACTGTGTGGCCTAAAATTTGGCATTCAGACAACAACTTATTTTGGAACAACTGCACAGCTGATTGATTTAGATTAGCATGGCATATTGAAAATAGGTGCAAATCTGCATGCAGTGTAACATACAATTCATTCACTTTCTTTCAAAATATAGGATTAATAAAGAATAGGTGTCACATTTCCAGTTTTTTCTAGAATGATATTACCTGCTGTAATTGCCTAACAGCTGAAGAAAAGACAGAAAAATTCTAAGACAAATATAAATCTTTGAAGGTACCCATAAGAATTTTGTATTCAGGACATGTCTTGATTGATAATAAGAAATGGTATTAACTTCTCTGACCGTATGACTAATTGCTAGTGAAAACGAAAACAAAATCCTGTTAGAAGTCTTTGAAGAGTTCCACAAAAGATTTCAGGAAATGTCTTAGACAATATAATTTTAACTGATTATACCAATATGCCTGTATAAAGTCCTGCAACTAAGATTTTTCACTTTCTAGTTACAGCATTTCTATTCTGCTACTTTTTATCATACTAATGAAACTTGCATTTCAAGTAGGGAGGAAAGAGTTAAGCTGTAATTAATCATGATATAAAAGCTCAGCATGCTGTACAAGAACCACTTGAATTCAAGTGTTAAAAAGGGAAGGGACACTGATTATTTTGGTGCTAGAGCCATTATCTTCCCAGTCCACAAACTAAGGAGGGTGTTTAACTCTTAGCAGGAAGTGAAAAAACTGCCTTTGAATGTAATTAAAAAGTGTCTGGCACATAACAGAAGAACCCATTATACTAAACAGTAATTTTAAAACCCATTTATTAGGTACTAGGAAGGAAAGGTAGCCAGCCATTACTTGAGGGAGGAAGGAAGGGTGGATGAGCTAAACAGACCTAACTAAGGAAATCTGTGTGCTTCATCACTTCTTTCCCAGAAAGAGAGTGTCTTCATTATAAAAAAAAGGTATATGGCTAATTTATGTTAGCAAATACATGGTAATTATCATGAAGTAAAATCTTAGCAAGAGCAAGGTAATTTTACATCATGAGCTATTGAGTTAAAGCTGAATCTAGTCTATATTTTATAAACTACAAATTGTCTGTCTTCACTAGGATTTTACCTTGTTAGCTTCTTTGCGTTAGCCAACGTGACATGCATTCATACCTTTTTCCCAATCATGAGAAGGCCAAAATGACATGTCTTACATCTAGATCTCTTAATCTTCTTCATGATGCCTCAAATAGAACATGCTGTACATTTTAACAGATAACTTTACAACCTCCTTTTGCAACTAATTTTTTTGCAAAATCAACACATTTTTAAACAAAAGCATTTTCTGTTCAATTATTTTAAGCATTTCTTTAACATAATTTTGTCGTTATTATTCTGTTTGATTGCATTATCTTTTTGTTGTTTTAGATGAGATCTCTCAGGGTAATACTTGAAGGTTAAAGAATCCAGGATAGATTGCTTTGCTATAGATTTCATGAGTTAGAGTGGAACTTTCTTGAAATACATCTCTAGCAACTAATAGGTGCCTTTTATTATAAATATAAGGCAATTCAAGGAATTTGGATTATTGTGGTGTAATCTTAAACTTCTGGCTGAATAATTAAGAGTAAATGTGGGACTGATATATCTTGGAAGATCAAAATAATATTCTTTGAATATATGACTTATTTCCCCTTAATCACACAGTGTTTTTTGATGCATGCACCAATTATATCATTGCGTTATTTTAAATACTAACATTTCACTACCTATGTTTTAACCAGCTAGTGTTTTTAATAGCTAACATAAAATATGAGAAGAGAAATGTAATTTCCACATAGTACTGGATACATAGTATAGGAGACAGAAGTACTAGTTTTTCTTTGCCAGCTTGTTTTTAAAATGAGTCTGTATTTAAATTTAAAGAGATCTAGTGCCTGTAACACCAATGGTTTATAAAGCAGAATATGATGAAATGTCTTACTTTATATTATTTCTTTAATCTTTTTTTCAAGAACTCAGTATGATCTTATCCCTGCAATAAGCAGGTAGTGTTTATTACCTTCCCCTTTTCCTGGTCTAGTAGGGCTGGGACTGCCTTCTTTTCCAAACTGGAAATTAGGATCCTGTAACTGTTCACTTTCTGGCTGAACTTCTTCTATTCCACTTTCAGAAGACTGTCCACTTAATGTCCCTTGATGCCAGTTTTTATAGTTCTCTTCAGCACAGTCTCTCCTGTGCTCTCTACTCTTTCTGCTTAGTGTTGATTCAGAATCCACATTAACATCCGTGTTTGTGCCATTACAGAATTTAGGTTGAGGAAAATGCTGTGTTATAAACCCAACAAATTTCATTCCTCTTTTAGCAGCTTCATTCACCTGTATTTGTAACAGAAAATTATTTTGAAACTCTGAATTTGTCAGTTGTAGATAAGATATTTTTATATTACACATATCTCAAACTAAAATGTTGATTTTTGAGGACACATACAAAAGACCCAATGTTCTTAACTATGGTAAAGTTCTTATATTATATATATTTAAGGTACCTACCTGTTAGCTCTATCAGTTAGCTTATAAACTGTCTGTATGTTGAAATAACTAGGAATTCTGCAAGGAGAGAAGCCTCTATGTAGAATCAAGTCAAACTGACTATACTAATGTCCCCTTAAATGTATACAGAATTCTTTATGTTACAGGACAGTAAAATTATGCTTTATGTATAGATACATTTCCCATGCATTAAAATTCAGCCACCACTGAGATCAGATTTAGAGCTATTTTGCAGCAGTCAGAATGATTTAAAGCAGCATTTCCCAAATTGGTTTATGGCCCACAGAAGTAAGGTCAAGTCTCTTGCACCCTCCTTCCCACCCTGCCTTCAGCTACCACTGCTGCTTCTCCCCACTGCTTCCAGTCAGTGGTGTGGGAAATCAGCAGCAACTCTTTCAGTCACAACTTTAATGATCCAGAAATCTGAAATATACTCTTCCTTGTATGTCTTTCCTCAGCAGTTAACTTAAACAGCTATATTACTGTAACTCTTGAAATAACAATAACTTCCTGTTTCAGTTAGCCTTCAGTTTAACAGAGGAAGTGAAAATCAAAAGGAACTAAAACTTTTATTACATTGACTTGAAGTTTAGTGTTCTTTAATGACACAATTAAATCTTTTCAGAAGTAATCAAAAGTAAATATCTCTGTAAAATCATCACTTTTGCAGATTGATGCGAGATAGAATCTACTAATATTTATTCTTGCTTAGATACTGCGATTCATCTACCAATCTCAACTTTACTTGAGTATACTACTTCAGATTTTCATTTAATAGAATATTACATTATAATTCCAGAGGGAGCTCCTGTATGTGCATATCTATATAGTAAATTTATGACTACTGTTGTCTAAACCATGTGCAACAACAAAACAAGGGATCAAATTCCACTCTCAGCAATGTAAATGGCAAAATACTGAGTTCAGTAAGTTCAGGACAGAGTCCTAAATAAGAAAGAATTTCTGAAAGGGAAAAAAGCTTTACCCACTTATTTAGACAAAAGCATTGGCAATTTCTATTAGTCAAAAATCAAGGTTAAACCTTAAACATTAACTGTAAATACCTACACTACAGTCAAAATCCAGTGAGCAGAGATCTTAAAAAAAACAACCTTCAATACCTTTTCTAACAGTCCTTTCACTACCTCATTTGTCAGTGTTTCACACATTAAAGGACATTCCTCAATCACAAGCCTGGGGTGTCTTTGTCCTCTGGGTGCTGTATGCTTCTGGCTGGAACACAGAAAGAAAGCAGTCTTTGTCAGCAGTTTGCTGCTAACTATACAAATGCTTGTTGCACATAGAATTCTTTTCTTTTTGAAAAAAAAAATATGAACGACATCTTGGCAATACCTTTTCATGCCTTTGCTTAGAACTCATGACCCTCTCCAAGTTTACATAAAGTATCAAGTATTATACAGTCAGGAAAAAGTTCTCATATGTAATATGGGTTTCATTTATGAGTTGCTTGTATTCATTTATTGAAACATATAACAAAGACATTTCTTTAACAGCAAATGAATCCCAAATGTGGATAGTTGATAGTGGAAATACATAAATACAATATAAGAGCATACAATATAAGAACATAAAAGATAGGGTGTTTCTCTATCTGCTTTAATGCCAAAAATAGAAAAGATGCTTTCTTAATGTCAGTAAGTTACTGGTTTGACTTATAAATAAGGAACAACCACAGCTATTACGTAAAAATGGCTGCATTTTTATATCAGATGGTAATATTTGGCTAAACTGTCATTTGTAGTTAATCAATAGTTGAAGCATCCATATATCTCAAAATATCCAAGTTAATGTTAATAATAATGTGAATTTACTTGTGATTTTTTTCCCATGTAAAAACAGGAAAGTGCACAATTGTACTTGGATTACTGAATTCACTGTATTCCAAACCCAACAAAACTAGATTTGCTTCAGCACCCTTTCATGCAGTCTTTTAGTTTTGAAGGAAACATGTATGTACCTAGTTACTTACCTTAAGCTAACTGGAGATCTTCCAGATACCTTTGTATAACATGGGGTAGAAACAGATGCTGCCTGTTGTGCAGCCACAACAATTTTTACGGAGACACAAATGCAGAACAGACACACATCACTACCCTTTCTCATGCCATATCACTGGTGTGACAGAAGGTACTAATAAATTGCACCACTTCACTGGGGCTAATGTCTATTTATTCTGTGGTAGTAGAGTGCAGGCAGCCTGGAGCTACCTGTAGTCTAGAGTTGCCCACACTCTACTGCCACTCAGGGGCTTAAGTGGCCCAATCCTGTGCACTCTGGGTAGGATCAGGCCCCTCAAGCCTGGAGACTACTCCCCACTTAGAGATGCACCCTGCAAGTGGGGACAGACCATACAGGTCCCAGTGTCAGGGCCTGGGGAATCCCAGGCACTCTTGTGCCTTCATGCCAGGAGTCCCATGACTCCATGTTTCCACACAGGAACTCATGCTGATGTGTGCTTTATGTGGAGGTATGGGTCAATGGTATGGGAGGGTGGAGGTGGCACTGGAGTTGGGGAAACCCTGGTGCCCCACTCATCCTTGTTAGGACCTGCACTGGATTATGCTTTATATAGAGGTATGGGTCAGCCCTGGTCCCTATGCTGAGGCAGAGGGCACTGGGGATTCCCCAGTTGCTGCGCTGCCCTGTGACAGGACCCACACTGATGTGGGACAAGGGGTGATGTGTGTGTCAGCCAAGAAAGCAGATCAGTTGTAGCTGATCCACTTTAGTTTGGTGATATTTGTCCAAAGACCCCCCACTGTAGGTATATATGTCCCATGCCTGGTAGACTAGAGAATTTTAGCTAGCACTGCTTGCTGGAGGCTGTGCCTGTGCACAGTATGAGTGAAACCTCTTCATATGAGGGCTTAAAGGCCAGAGTCTAAGCTCAGTTATTTCACAAATGCTGAAATCCACTATGAGGGCTCTGTACCAAAGGGGAAGGAAAGTGGAGCATGGCTTCTGTGTGGTGAAGCATGTCTTTAAAAACTCCACCTGCAGTAGGGAAAGTAACTTATTTTTTTAATCATTTCTCCACATGGATCCTATTGTAGGTGTGTAGCCAGTAATTACTTGTCACAGAGGAAGGTGATAAGTGGTCTAGCTAAGTAGCAGCTGCAAATCAGTCAGGCTACATTGGGAATCTGATTTAAAAGCTCTCTAAGCTGAACAGTATTTTCTAAATGCATTCATAGAGATTCACATAGCTGCTCTGCATATTTCTGCCCTGTAAAACATACTTATAGAAATCACTAGAGTCCTATTGGGCTGTTTTCCAACTGAAGATGGAAGGGGAAGCCTTCTTAGAGTATGAGAAGTCTTAGTAGCATCAGAAATCCATTTTGCTAGTCCCTGGGTAGAAAATGACTAGCTTTTACTCCTAAAATTTTCAAAGAGTTTATGGGCTTTCACAAGGAATTTTGTTCTTAAAAGATCAAGCACACTGAGAAGTGGATCATGGTAGGCCTAACGTGGAGCTAATAATATTGCCTGGGTTTTGCCTTGCCAATTTTTATGAGTACTCTGGAGATCAATCAAATGGGGGTAAAAAGTACATGACAGATGTTGGCCCTACTGAATCAGAAATGTGTCTGCCAAAGAGTGTGAGAGTCATTCTCTATTTTTCTGTTTTAAACCATGTCTATATAGATTTCCTGCTGAGACCAGAACCATTGCTAAAAAAAGGCTTGTATGTGTGCCACACTTGGCAAATAAGCAACTATAGCTTACAGCAGTCCTGAGCATGTGACCCATCTCACACCCAAGCTATCCTCAAGACCAGCAGTCAACAACCTTTTTGTGGTCGTGGGTCAGAATGACTTGGCTTGAGTCTGAGGTGGGCTGATGATAGGACCTGGCTGCTGACATGATTGCTTCTTCCTGCCTGCTGGCTCTGGCATGGGCAAAGCTCCCTATTGCCCAGCTAATGTGTGGCATGGGCAGGGCAAAGTCCCCCACTGTCAAACTCATAGCAGCCAGGTTGAACCCCATTCTAAACACCAAGTAGTAATTTAATTTACCTGTAATGTTTTGGAAGGGCTTCATGGTAAGCTGAACAATTAGCAAATGTTTTAAATAAATACATTTTAATGGGGCAATACATTCTATATTAATTCATTCAAATTCTTTTCCCCTTAACACATTCTTACCTTAATTTGAGTCGTGAGAGTACCACTCGATACATATAGCTTGCAGGAAAATGCTTTCTTCGTCCAATAGGCAGGATAATAGGATGAATGGCTCCTACAACATATCCTTTTATGTAATACTCTTCCACTTTTGATGCTATATCCAACATTGAACTGATTTTGATAACTTCTGGATTTGGGGACGCTAAAGACATTGAAATCATAGAATATATGCACATTATACACATGTATACATTTTTATACATAAAAATAAATTAACCATATTCCAACTCTCATATTTACTAAAACTATATTCCCAACTATAAAGATATACAAAATACACAAGTGGCTAGTAGGCTAGGAATGATCTAATAATATAGATATTAACCTACATATTTTACAAAATAGAAAGAACTTTGTAACCTTTGAGTTCATATATATGATTTATGTATTCATTTCTATCTGCAGTTATATTTTACAGATGAAAAAGAAACAGGACAAAAAGAGAACACGGAATAAAAAGTCTATTCCTAAACTGAGATTTTTGTCTTGCCTACATAGGAGGGTTGCACCATTTAACTTAATTCAATTTTGAGCCAATTCAGTTACAATGCTGCAAAATTCTGCATAAACACTTTCTTTTAGGTTTAAGAGTATCTTATTTTGGTTTGGCAGAAACTGATTTCTCATCAAATTAAACTAAACTGAAATAAGTCCAACGTGCACCAAAATAAGAGGGTCCAGATAGAGGTTTTCCCAGGTTTAATAAGAACAGATTAAAAAACACATTTTTATTAAATAGTGCAATATTCTTGTAGTTTGTAACAAAGGCCTTACTAATATAGTCCTTATCACTATAATTCCCAAAGTAAGTCCAGCATCATCCGAAGTTTTCTCTTTTGGGTCCTTGCTAATTCAACTGGAAAATTTAGTTAACTCTTTTTGAGCAAAACTCCCCATTGAAACTAGTGGGGATTATACATAGAAACTAGTAGCACAGCTTTTTGCTAGCTCAGTAAGATATAACTTACTAACCCATATCTTGATTTTCAGAGAACTTTAGTATTTGCTATTCTTATTAACTTAAGCTGAAGTTGTGGGTGCTCATCATCTTTGATAACCCCTGGCAGCAGTGGCAAACTTGTAGACTGAAGTAGACTTGGGAATCTAGTTGATTTTCTGGTTTTCAAAGTCTCCCTTCAGGAGGGAAAGGTACTGAACACTCTAAAGTCTGTTATTTGGCCCATGCTTAAGAAGCCACCACCTGATGCTGACTCCTCATCCAGTCATCACTGTCCTGTCTCCAACCTCCCCTTTTTGGCAAAAGTCACCAAATGGATAGTCACCCAACAGTTCCAAGAGCACCTGGATGCCATTGGTTTCCTGGATCCCTATCAGTGTGGCCTTCGTCCTGGGTTTAGTACGGAGATAGTGGTCTTGGTCAATATCTTCACCTGGAGATTGACAGGGGAAATTGTTCCCTGCTGATCTTACTCAATCTTTCTGTAGCCTTTGATACAGTTGAGGTTCTGAAACAACAATTTCATGACCTGGGAAGTAGTTGCAGAACAGTTCTAAATTGGTTCTACTCTTTCTTAGCAGGGAGACCCCAGAAAGTGGTGATGGGCATATGCACCTCAGGACTTCTCCTGTGGGCTCCAGCTTGTCTCTCCTTGTGTTCAATATGTATATAAGGCTGATAAGTGAGGTTGTATGGAAATTTGGCATGAGGTGCCTCAGCATCCTCTTGACACCCACCCCTGCTTCTCCTTCTCTTCTGACCCTTTCTCAGTGCTTGAGTCTGTAGCAAGAAACCATTTTTTGCCTGCCCCCACCCTCCAATGTGAAGCCCTTCTCTACAGCAAAAAGCCCCTTCTGCAGTATTTGCTCCCTTTTAGGGGTGCTTTCTCTTTTCTACCTTTTCTTCCTTCCTCCCTCTTCTTCTATTATTATTTTTATAGAATATAAGGTGGACTTGTAATAAAAATATAGTTTGCAGATGCTTTTATGGGTATAAAATAGTATTCTGCATCAGTATGTTCCCCCCCACCCATTGTATTTGGTGTATTTGTTATATGTGCCATGGCATTTCACTCTTTTATGTTTTATATTCTATGCTTTTTAACTTTGTAACAAATGTACTTTAAGTTTAAAAGCAAGTTGTACAATATAACAATGTTAGCAAGGGCAGGAATCAAACTGTGGCTTCTCTGTATGGAGCGGGTCCCTGAATTAATCTTGATTGATTGCATAACACAGTAGCTAGACAGGATAACAAGTTAATGAGCAGCAATTAACACCTATGAAACCACATACTACAGAGAGGAAAGGATCAATACAGAGCTAGGAACTCCCTGAAATGTCACTGTTAAAGGTGCAGAAGCCCTGGTTTGAACTAATCAACCCCGAAGACCAACTCTTGGGACTGAATACCACCCCCCCCTCCCTGATCAACCGCCCCCAGAGCCCTATTCATCACAGCAGTGAATTAAACAAACTTCATCAATGGACTCTCGAGACTGCATGTACCTGCAGATGTGACCCCTGGGGCTGACAGCCACCATCCAGCAACCAAGGGGGACGTCCCATGAGGTCAACGATCCCTGGATCGCGTAAGCCTGAAAATTGGGGAGTCGCCAAAGTCTGCCAGACAGGGATAAAAGGCAGCAAAGAATGACCCCCAATGGTGTCCTCTTTGACCTGACCAGCACCCTGCCTGCCCAGCCAGAAGGATCAGCCGACGACCCCCTTCTGAAGCATCACACTGAAAGAAGCCTTGACTGGCTAACAATAGTGGACTCCAGCACTTGGGGATAGGTATATCTTGACACCGGTGCTTAGTATTCATAGCTAGCTACTGTGAGTGTGTGTGTGCATGAATGTGTGTGTGTTTGAGGGGATCAGCCCCAAGGTTTATGATCTGACTTTTGCATCCATCTAATAAACTAGAATTTTATGATGATCCTGTGAGTTGGTCCTTTGTAGCCAACAACTCCAGTGGGGGACTGGATACAGGTAAACTAATTGAAATTGAATTCAGACAAGACGGAGGTGATGGTGGTGGGCATACCAGATGCTCAGGGCATCTGGGACACCTATCACTGGTGGAGTTAAATCTCCCCTTGTTACTTGGTTCATAGTCTTGGAGAGCTCTTGGATCCTCTGCTGCACCTGAATCTTCGCTAGGAATACCTTTCACCAACTCCATCTGGTGGGAGGGCTGCAACACTTTCTTTCATATTCTGATCTACCCACCATCATTCATGCCTTTAGCACCTCAAAGATAGACTACTGTAATGTGCTCTATGTGGGGCTGCCAGAACATGGAGGCTCACGTAAGGCAGGTGGGTTGCCAGGAGCACATTACTCCAGTGCTCTGGAATCTGTACTGGCTTACCAGTAGCTTTTCTGGCACAATTCAAGGTGCTAGCTTTGACCTATGAAAGCCCTAAACATCCTGGGCATTATGTACCTAAAGGAGTGCCTTCTCCCCTGTGCCCCATCATGATCCCTAAGGTCAACCAACAGCAAGCTCCTGCCAGTACCATCAATATACAAAGTCCGCTTGGCAAAAAACATGTGGGAGGTCATTCTCAACAGTTGCTCCTTAGCTCTGAAACTCCCTCCCTCTTGAGGCCTGCTAGAACCCAAATCTGGATGTCTTTCAGAAATGTAACAAGACCTTTCTGTTTGGGCAGGCATTTAGCAACCAAAACTAAGTGGAAATGTTATTTGGTGGGTATCCATTTAATGATGTTATTTATTCTAGTTGCCTTTTTAAGTTTCTGTTTCTCTTGTTATAAGCTGCCCTAAGCCTTTGTTGAGAAGGGTGGCGTATCAATCACACAAATATCCATCACACAAATAAATAAATATGGAAGAAACACTCCTCATATTGCCCTAAGCTGTTGTCAATATCAAATTTTCTATCCTTTTTCACAACTGTTGACTTTTTGGGAAGTTATTTTTGCGGAAATTTGACAGATTCCCAATAATAACAACTGCTACAAGTTCTTGAGTTCTTCCAAGAATTATAACAGTTCTTTTTACATTCCCTTTTCTGGAGGAAGAAAAAGAAATAATAATGTTGTTCAATAGCGTCAATGGATGTTTTAACTTGAAATTAAATGTTGATTCTTTTTAGAATTTTAAAAACCACTCTTTAGAGAACTGCTTCAGGATTCTCTTGCTCGTTTTCAAGGAAGAAAAAAAGACTTAAACATTGAAAAGAACTTACTCTCCCACTGACTTTATAATCAGCCTCTATATATAAAGAAAAAAGTACATAAAAAGTGCCGGGACAAAAATTCCACTTACCATTCTGAAAATACATTCTTTATAGGTTTATTCAGCCCCCCTCACCTCCTCTGTTGCCCTCCTTATCCTTTATACTTCAGGAAAAGAGAATTGTGCCACTTGTGACAGCATGTATTTTTTTAGGGGGTATCTTAGAATCATAGAATCAATGAGTCGGAAGGGACCTAGACAGATCATCAAGTCCGACCCCCTGCCATGGGCAGGAATGAGCACTGGGGGTGGGAGGGGTCAAAAGACCCCAGCCAGGTGTCTATCCAGTCTCCTCTTGAATGGCTATCCAGTCTCCTCTTGAATGGGCATGGGCTATTTATGTTATCTGGCTAGAGCTTACAGTTCACTATTAGAACATACAAAAGACCCAATAGCATCTGACTCCAAAGGAAGGATGAAGGGAAAGAGGGACCTCTCTCCAATCCCCTGTCCACTTTGATAAATTAGCTGATGCAATTTAGCCAAATGGATAGAATTCTGTTGTCCTTTGTTCAGCTAACTGGAAGTTTTGTAGCTGCTAAGAGGCATTGTTGCCACTTATGTACAGTTGCAGTTCTATTACATCTGCAATGTGGACATGTAAGTGAGTGCATGTAGACTGAGTGACACAGTAGGCTATACCTAATCAGGCAGGTAGGCAGCTACATATGCATGCCCATTCTGGATCTGTGTCTCTAACTTAGGAATATAAAGATGGCCAGGAAGTCATGACTAATGGGGTATTAGACCCCAGAGAAGAACACTTGCACTTCTTAGTCTCAGTAATTGAATGGTGGCACTTGGTCAGAAAGCTGGAGACCTCAGTTCTAGGTCTCAGAGTTGATTTTAATCTGTACTGCCCTAAATCTCAACCACAGTACTTTTTGACCACACTGCAGTTTAGGCATTATCCAGCAC